TATAAATATGTTCAATAATGACAAAAAAACTTACAAGTGTGACATATAAATTTCATAAACTGTCTATTAATTCACCTAAATAGGTTATTGGTGTCTTAGCCTAAGTGTTGTTCTATTCTTATTGTTTAGGTATATCATGAATGTCATCACCCCTATTCATCCAGGGGTGTCGTAAGAGCCGACTAAGGGAGTAAACTACGCAGGACAACAGCACTACAAAGAGAAGGAAATCTTGACACAAACCCTATATCAACCCGTCTGGCCAGCGTGGTATAGTAGGCCAAAACCTCCTTTCTAAGGAGAGGCCTACGTCCAGCAGTGGACTATTAAAGGCTGTTGATTGTATTAAAGGCTAACAATTTCAAGCAATTGTCAAAAAGAAAACAGAAACAAATGGGCAAATTACAAGAATATTACCTACTTAAAAGTAGGAATAGTATGTATAAAATTATAATGTCTCGCACATTGTGTTTTTACTTCCTCTTGTGTTATTTCAAATTTGACTAAAGTCTCTATTACATACTTGTAAGAACATCAGATTCAGCTCATTGACTAAAAAGTCCCATATTTTTTAGATAGTTACCATCCAACCAACCAACTGGAGAAAAAGGTAAATTTACAATCGCTTTTCAGCTATCAGTGGGACATGTCTTTTAAGTAAGTTGCCAACCGGGTCGCGGCCGCCTCGCTGCCCGCCCTCCGACTGCCCGTCCGCCCGGCCACCACGCGAGGGTTGGGCCCGGACACCGCGATTATAACATAATTGAGTGCTTCCGGTGAACTGCCGGGTCTCTTTTACGTTTATAGAAAAATCACAACGCGAAGGAAATTGAAATCTTATGGCTATCTGGGATTACAGTTGTTACTATAACTAGTAACAACTGTAATCCCTGTAATGTACTGTGATATCGTCACATAACTGTGACGATATCTATTGCTCATATACATTTTATCAGCCGCATGTTGCCAATGGTCTGAAATCTCTTTTTAATGAATTACATTTTTTTTTCTTTTTTTCACCAACGGCTTTTACCTCGTAGGTCTCGTGCAGGCCTCTACAGACGTGAGTGTTCTTTGCCTTTGTCTCTGCAGAGGCGAAGATTTTATGTGGTACACAGTCGGTTTTGAACGGATCGGTTTTGTATCTTTTAAATATAACACCTACTTGTTTCTTCATCGTGACAAGATGATAGGTAAGAATAGTCTTCTTCAGTATAAGTGACTAGCTGAGCTGCGCCTTTCAAAAAGAGTAAATTTCCCACCCGTTTTTGCAGCATTTTTTGTTGACGCTCAGCTCCTATTATTGGTGGTAGCGTGATGTCATATAGCCTATAGCCTTCCTCGATAAATAGCCTATTTATCAATAATTTTTAATTCAAATAGTAGTTCCTGTGATTAGTGCAATCAACCAAACGAACAAAATATTTAGATTTAAAATATTGGTATAGAAATTTGGTTATAAGTATTCAGTAATTACATTTACAATAAATTTTAAGTTTGGGCATCTGTTCATTGCTGATGTGTAGTGCTATCCCTATTTTGGTTCCCTATTTTGATAAGGAGACTCACTAAATCCTTTAGAAAGGACAAGGTTGTGAAGGAGTGGGTGGTACCGTTTGTCTTGCGATGACCATTTATCATGTTCCATTTACGATGTTTTGTATGCGGGTTTGTCAGTTTATTTGTAAATGAACGCATAATGAAACAGAGATAGTCAACGTCCAGACGTATTTACTCAAACTATATTCAGATAAACATAGGTAACTAGTTGGCAAGTGGTACTACGGTTATATTTCTCTTATTTATCGTAGTAAAATATATATGCCCACAGAGTACGAGGAACATCTGTAATTTAATTTCTGAGATAGGAATCTTGCCCATGTTAACATGCGGGATAGTTAAAAAGTAAAAAAAACATCCATACTTCATACAAGTTTATACTAGATATATATATATATATACTACATATACATATATTCATACTACATACTTCATACTACATATATGTTTGATAAAAAATTTACAAGATTATCAGAAGAAATTTTAAAATATTCTTGGATCATAGTTTAGTCGAAGAAACTTTTTGCTTTTTATTTTTCTGAGTGGAAATAAAAAAGTTTCACCCGCAGCAGCGCCTTCGCACCCCCTTCCACCTACCTTGAGGCATTTCCGCTTTCAAAAATTCTTTGACTCAGGCTGGATCATATTTTTGGCGGGCTAAATTTGAGGCAATGAATCTCTTCAAAGTTTTGATTGTACACATTCGTTACCTTCTACCATTCGTCAACGCGAAAGAGCTCCAATCCGTATAACTTTGCGGTCTAAAGAGTTAAGCTCCAAAGTACTTCGGAATTGAAATTCGTAATGGAATTAAAGTGTCATAGAAATTTTACATAAAAATATTTCAACCGTCCAACATTTCCAAACTCATTTATTCATTTAATACTCGTATTTTACTACACGTCGTAGCTATGGGTTGGGATTTTTTATTTTTATTTTATAAGAACTTTGTTGTATTTTAAGTTTTTTTTGAGCTTCTTATGTTAGGAACTCATGTAATTTATGTAAATATAAGAGAGAATAGTGCAGGTAAATATTGAGCTGTTAAATAGATTGAACCTTACTCGTGTAACCTTACGGGTGTCGTAAGAACCGACTAAGGGATAAAATCACAAATAAGATATGAGCTTAGTAGTTTTTTATTAAATCAATCTGTTTTTGTAATATGCATGTACGTTTAAAATTTTGCATGTCAGAACAGACTGACGAAATATGTGATTCTCTTCTAATAACTATAAACAGCATGGCATGGCATCTGGCCAGCGTGATATAGTAGGCTAAAACCCTACTTTCTAAGGAGAGGCTTATGTCCAGCAGTGAACTATTAAAGGCAGTCGTTGTGATTAAATGTATGTAAGTAAAAAGTCAAATTCTATGAAATCAATGTTAGACAATATTAGTTAATGTTGATGTTAGCAATGTTAGACCAAGTGTCGTCCAATTGGAGAGATCTATGTCCAGTAAAAGCCTGCGATAGGCCGATTTAGATACTTGCTAAGAGCCTTGACCAACATCTTCAGAGGCTCGTGTTGTGCAGTTGGATTAAGGTCCTGATGCAGAAAGCAGTTCTTCTCGATACCGTGCCGCATTGTGAGGAGGTTTCTGTCTCTGGAGTTCTAACCACCGATATCTTGGTCCCTGTACCCGATACCGATGGGACACTATTTTTTTATTTTTTAAATGTATTTTTTTGTACATAAATATATTCAGAAATGTAATTTATATGTATATTTAATGGAATAAAGAGAATAATAAATCTCACACATCTCACACACTGCCGTCTGATCCCAAACCATAACCAGACTGCTGATAAACGTACTTACATACACTTACACATGGTATATTGTTATATACAATGTGTTTAAGTTTAAAATTACCTTATTGATCTCAAATTGTAAACAGTTACTTCAAAAACTAAATATGCAAGTAAAGTAAGACGAACTGCTAACAATAAGTAATGCCGCTAAACGGTTCGTCTTACTTTACTTAAGGCGTATAAATCTAACCCTACAGTAAATAATAAATTTAAGAGTAAGCAACTTTTGTAGAACGGATAAAATACAATCATTTTCGTCTACTGCGAAGCTAATGAATACTTTCTGATTAGCGAAATAAGCGACGTCATTAAATAGCCACTCAAGTAGATGAGCCTAAATGTTGTACAACTTTGCGAAAGTTAAATTTGCTCTACAATCATGATTTATATTTCTTTAAAGAGGTACCTATTAAAACTTTTTTTCAGATTGCAACTCCTTTAACACTTTCAATTCCAAGTGCAATAAATCAGAGCTAACCGCGGCTGCTTTCACGTTATGACTTCCTCGTAAAATTTACATTTAAAAGTTAATTTTCAAGCTCCCCAGCTTAGGGCAATTGTTAATCTTGGATTCTCACAATGCCGTCAGTGTAAAAATTTCGAACATTAGTACCTATCAAGTTGCACTCGGGGGGGTTTATACTTTGCTACAGTTTTACACTCTGGTACCTGAGAGTATAAAATCGTCGAGCGAGGCCAGCAGTGTGCCACTGCTTATTTAGGTTTAACCTTTTTTAAACTGTTTCAGCATGAAATTAAGCAGTAAAGAGTTTTATAATCATAACTATTAGTGGGTTTTTTAATTTAGGATTGTAATAGAAAAGTATTCATAATACAGTACATTCTTCTTCGAAAAATCATCAGAGGCTTGTAACGATAGGGCTCTATAAGTATAATGGAAACTTAAGAACTTAAGACAGTGAGTCCTGATACTGATTACATGTCAGGGGACGAAAAGAGTTGAAACCAAAGCGCCATACGTCGACTGCGTAGAACCATGTCATGCATAAAATTTTTGTGTTTTCGATTATTAAGCTTGAAGCTACAGGTCGTTGAACGACGTGGAAAATGAGATGCTCGTCCGTGCGTATGCGTTGCACGCTGGCCCTGACAGATTTTTTAATTCTAAATTCTATAAAAAAAGTCTATCAGAATATGAAAGAATGCATGTGAATGAATATAGGAATAGAGGAGAAGAATAGAAAAGAGGATGGAGAGAGATAAGATATTAAAGAAAGTAATAAAATTGAAAAGTCCTTTCTTCAAACAAAGTCAAGCGTTGGCATAAATGAAAATGCCCTCTTTTATTCTCATAACAATTTTAAAGAAAAATGATACGGAACTCTATGTTCGTAAAACTTGCCATTGTCCGACAAACAGTATAATAAAGTTAATAAAAACAAAGGACTAAAATCTACATAACTCCATTGATTAGTTAGCGTTTGATATTAGATTATATTAAATTACAATTTAGATTAGTGGCAATATTTTAAACGACTATCAAAAGCATTGTACCTACTACAAAGGTAAGGGGCGCGAAAAGCGAATCGAATCAGCTTAAGAGATAGTAACAAACAAACAAAAATGTATGACCAAACTGCATAAATATGCAGAATCTAGGTCGTTAACCGAGAAATCCGGTTACACAAAAGACTTGGTTGGATGCAGAGTATTTCGTAGTCCACAAACGAATTGCAAATGCGGCTAGAGCGTGGGTTTGTTCAGTGAGTCGCCAAACAAGGCGCGCGCCCGCCCGTGGCGCGTTCCTCGCCGCTTCGACGCCAAAGCCTCCGCCTGAAACGCAGCACTTAGATTTCTGTGTTTCACACAAAACACAACAGTCATGACGTACACATTCTTACCATGCTTATGGAAGCCATTAGAAATAATATTTTTTTTCTGAAGTGCCATATTTTTCTTTACAAATTTGAAGGATGTTGATTATTTTTATTGACATTAAGTTAGAAAGCTACCTTTTTGAAGGTTATTATAGCTTTGCATGTTTTCACCAGTATGTAGTTATTTACTTTTAGATTGTTATTATTTATATAATATAATATAAATAATAATAACAACAATAACAATATATATATATATTGTTATTGTTGTTGTTATTCATTGTTTTTATTTATATTAATTACTATAAACTAAAATTTAGCTTTTTTATATTTTCTTAAAATCGTCCTCATCCTGTGTGTAATAGTAGTATCCATTTACACGTAAAATGGGTACACACTTTTCACAACTATCTGGTAGTGGAATGGTTGGATAGGTCTTGTAAAATTATGACTGGAGTGTAAACATATTTTTCAATTCAGTGATTCACTGGCGAAATACGATTAGCTTGTGTAAGTGCTTTGTGTGCATGTATTGTATACATATGACATACCTTACAGATTTACCCAAAGACCCGCTTAGTAGCTAGAATGTGTAGAATGTGTAATTTCTTTTTTTGCTAGATGTCAACAAAATCTGTGTGTTTGTAGTTTAAATGCCGAATCAGTGGCTAAAATAAATTTATTTAGCAAAAGAAGTAAAGATAGGAGAAAGATTTTTTAATTTTCAAAACCATTCAGTACCATCTTAGTGATACTGCATTCGCAAGAATCTAAAAAAATGGAGATTTCATGATCAATGATTTATTTAATGTTTTAAGACGGAAATTTCTGATCCGTATAACGTAACATGGCATATGTAGTAATAAGTTTGATTGCAGCGGCATCACTAATCATTTGTATTATGTGGTTCCTAGAACTGTATTGAGGCACGAGGCGCGTCCCTTGGCTGTTCTACACTACATATATATATATATATAGAAATACGTATGATTTACACATCGCTCCTTCAAATATTATTTCGTGGACATTGGTGTGGGTTGCACGTTCAATCAACAGATTATTTACTCTAATTTACAACTAGTTAGAGTTAGAGTTCCAAAAAATCTGGATTTTGCAGTAAAATATTGTTCTTTATTATTTATTAATTTGTCGATCTTTTTTTTTCGTGTGTAAACCTCTCGGGCCGTCACTCCACCGGGGATTGTGGTGGGGTGGTGTGTCGGAATCGGACCGACTACCAACCACACGGTGTGTCACTCTACGTCTGTAATAAGAGGAACTGCTATTAATTAGACATCCGGACCCTCCTAGCGCTTACCAGCAACGGCGCGGAGACCATCCTCGGGTACATTCTCCATTCAGCCAGTCGCGAATGGAGAGGCTGGGCGGGTGGAAGGGCAAACCCGTCCCGTCCACAAGCGGCTACATTCGGGGCGGCATGAGGCGCTGGTAACAACATTAAATATGTATGAAAAAAGCTTAACTAAGTTTTTTTTAAGTTTTTTCAAAGTCGCAAAAATGTTAATGTCTTAATTTTTACTACATATCACACTTTAAGCCAAAGAAAATAAGCTAAGAATGTGAATTTTGTATAATCTTTTAAAGTATTAGAGGTACGAGTACATTGCCTTAGATGCACTTTGTAGTAGTCTATACATATACATAAAGCGTCTGTTTATAATGCTGTGTTTTTATGAATGCATATTTTCTGTCTGTATGATGCAGTTAATAGATAAAACAGCATATTAAATGAGTGAATTTAAACACTTTTAATATTTGTTGTAAACAGAAAACATAATTGTTGTTTTTAAAAGTTGTATTTTAAAACCAAACAAAAAGAAATTAAAACTGAAGAAACAATATGCATATATTACATTTATTATATATACGAGTAAGATTATTATTCATGCTAATTAATGTTTCTTTACTTGTGCATTTAACTTATGTTCATGGTACGAGTATTAATGGTATATAAGTGCAAAGAATCGAAATGGGGTGGAAAGATAATAGGTTTAATACTTACACATTTTTATATAGAAGTGTATTTAGGGTATAATTGTCATTTGTGTTCGTTATGTCTGATCTTCCTTTATTTGAATTCACTTATCTTTATATTTTAAGGCACAAATATAACTATTTTAGAAGACTTCTATTTCAAAACAAAAACTTTACTGTAACTGTACCGCTCTAATGATTCAGTTTCAAATTTAATATAATAAAGCTACCATGGATAACTACTATTTTTATGTTTGATGAAATACTTTACTTAGAATACTTACTTAGAATTACTTTTTAATTACTTTCTTAGAATTCAAAGGTAAAGTAACCTTTGAATTATTTTTATCTCATAATCGATAAATATGATAGTAACTTTAGCCCACGACTCCGCTCGCGTGCATGTAGGTTCTGGCGTTTAGGTGTAAAACCGTAACAAACAAACAAACTCAGATTCACATTTTAATATAAGTATGGATTACCTATGTTGATACAAGCAATATATAGGTAAGGCGATGACTCGTGCCTTGACTGATTGAAAATACAAAAACTTTACACTTCCAGAACAGTAGGCAAGATACTTTAAAGGTATATTAATTGTAACATTATGATTTGTTATTAGAAAGTTACCCAAAAAAAAGGTTGTGTTAATTGTAAAATTTTGCTTAAAGTTTCCCTTTCTATGTACCTATGTATTTTTTCACATTCTAATGTTTTATTTTAAAAACAAGTAATATATCAAATGGTTTTAAGAATGTGACATTTAGCGTACTTAATTAAAGTGCCAACTGTAGAGAAAGTACAGTATGCTGACACTATATATCATAACATGTTATAATATTATGAAAAATAAGGGAAAACAGCTAAAATAATTATTGAAGAGAACAATGTATATGTTGAAGTATCACGGTACGAAAAGTACTTATATACTCGTACAATGAAAGTTCAAGTTGTTGTTCAATGATTTTAGTTTATATAACTGGTCACTATGGCCAGTTATATAAACTAAAATCGTTAATAGTTAGGTATTGAATTATGGATGAAATTCTACCACCAGGCGACTTTCTGGTAGAGAGTCACGGACAAAGACTTTACAGTAAGGTAAATATAAATTTTATAAAAATACTCTGCAATCGCATACGTAAAATCCCTTGGTGAATAAGACTTCTACAGTGTTATATCTGGGCTATACTTCAGTACGAATGCGAGGAATGGACAATTAAAGAAGACCTCAAGCACATTTAGAAGCTTTCGAGATGTGGGTTTGGGCGAATGTTGACCCTTAATTGGACTTAGAAGGTCTCGAAAAATTAGGAAGTTCTGTCAAAAAGATAAAATTTGCATATCTTGGATACAATGTACAGGGTAACTATTACAGGTCATTATGATGGGTAAGAGTGAGTGCTCCAGATCTTTTTCGCCTCGTGAAAAACAAGAAAGAGTACACAGAATTTAAAGAAAAAGATAAAAAAGTTAAGTCGGTTTGCGTGCGCTTCAAAAACTCAAAAAGTTCTGCACCGATTGAGCTCAAATTTTAACACGCTATACAACCCACTTAAAAAAAACGGCGGGTTGCACTCCGAAAGTGCCGGCAGTAGTGAAAACTTGAATATTAACGTTGTGCATTTTTGATATTTTGGAATGGTTAGGGAGTAACTTTGCACGAATTGCTTTAATTATCCGTATAAAAGTACTATTATTTATGTGGTAGAATACAATATTTATTTATTGCGCTATCGTACACAAACATGACAATTTATATTACATTAAAAAGTTTATCTTTCAAAAAACGGCACGTTGTAACATAAACACACACGAACGTTTGCGCAAGCGCCCTGCACCGCCTAAACGAAACAGCAGTCGCAGGCATACAGTTTCGCCGCGCCGTAGAAAGAGAGGTGGATACTTCCTCTCCTACGTCGCGCCGGCTGTCTACTCTTCATCCGTCTTACGAATTTTCGATCAGGTCATGTGTCCTGACGCGAGTTTAACATTTTTACCCATTACAAAATAAGTGTACAACGCCGCTAAAGAAGTTTTCACTTCAAAAATATTTTATCTTTCATCATTGCAATCAGTGGCATGTAGTTGATTATAACGATAATGAAAAAAGAACATTTTATTAAAGATCTTTTGAGAAGTTAGAATATTGTATTTATTTATTTAAATAATGTATTTAAAAAAATCTAAACTACACTTTAATATGCAAAAGAAATGATCACTGCTCAGTATAATTTCATACATAAAATGAATTTAATATTTAAGAATCGTGACTTTCTACGTCTACATATAGTTTGAAACTTACATTTCAGTTACAAAAAGTGTGTTTCATTTATTAATATTAGACTTAATTAGAAGGCCAGCGAGCTAGCTGTGCGGCGGCGATTGTCACCATAACCGTGCGAAGCTAACCGCCTCTCCGAGAGTAATTACACTGAACTTCATTTAACTTCCGCAGCTCAGTCCAAATACCAGTACCACTAAGCACTGTACTTACTTTACTTAGCCCGTAACGATGCAATTTTAAGTAACGGTCCGGCGGGATAAGTCGGGAGCGTGTATAGTTTAATGTACTTATGAAACTCAACTTTTGCATGGAACTGTTACGTTCTTAATACGAGTAAATAGTTTGGGGACTTTTATTATTTTCCGTATATAGAGGAACGTACTATACTGTAGAGCATTCAAGGCATTTATTCACTTTAATTTATTTGGAAAAGTTGTTTTTACGTGTAGGTACATTTTATACCTTTTTATTGATATTGAATTTAATGTATTCAGAAAATAACACAATAAATTCAATAGATATCATATTTCAATTGATAAAAATTAATTTAAATTTATTGATTGTGGGAGAGCTTTCGTTGTTTATCACCGAGTGATTGAGATTACTGGATTCCTTTTTCTTTCTTTTTTTTGTTTGTGTGGGAACTCCCCTCGGATACCACCCGCCAGTCGTTATCTGCACGTTTGCCTCCTATACATATAAAAAAAAACCATAATCATCATCAAAAGCCTTTAATAGTCCACTGCTGGACATAGGCCTCTTCTTAGAAAAGTGGTTTTGGCCTACTAAAACACACAATTCATCTCAATGTGCGTGTCAATACTATTGACGTTAATTAAAACACGCGACGAACAACTTAACCAAAATACATTTTCTCGCAGACGATCTTAAACAAAACGTGCTTTTAACGTAAAATATCAATAATTAATTTTAAACTTAGCGGTAAAATATCCTAACAGACCATGAAAATAATCTAAGCCCTTCTTCGTGGTTCAAAAAATCACTTTGTACAAGAAAAAAAACCAGGTTTTCGTTTATCTATACAGAGTGGAAAAACAATGGGTTAAATAAGAAAATTAGGAATTAGGATAGAGCAAAAAAAAAAAATGTACTTTAGGGCGGAAGAAAGATCGAAAGCGATTAAAAACCAACTTAAGTGAATATATAAGAATTCTATAAGAAGATGTTTTAATTATTATTTTGCCACGTATTGAAGGGAAGAGCAAAATCTGTTTTCTTCACTTTGAATACTAGAAAGTGATCACTTCTCTTAAAATATTTGAAAGGGCGTTACTAAAGCTTGAGCGGAGCTTAATGATTTTGTTATATAACACACGTACTACGTCTCTCACAAACACCCCTGGTCGTATTAACTACTAAATCTGAACTCGTGCCTCGAGGCACTATTAGCTGTATATGGTGACGCAGTTCATCATTGTTTCGGCGGCGTATAACTCTTTAATATTAGGTATACATATGTAAGTAAGCGCCTGTGTAGTGTAATCAAACGCACATTTACTACAGGCGCACCGACGCTCAAATATTAAACATACTAAAAGCGCTAACAAACACTACTATTATTTTCTGAGGCAAATATTAAATAGTAATAGTGAAGCTACTGAAAGGTAGATCCTAGTTATTTCTGAGCAAATGTATCATAATTATATTAATATATTAGAAGAATTTATACAATTCATAGATAAATCGTAATATTTTTGGGATGTAACAATTGGAGGTTCTGACAACCTCCAATTGTTACCTGTTTTCAGTGGTTAGCGAGTTGTTGAAAATGCCAGTTTGATTCTGATTATTCTGTAGCTTAATTTTCTATTCGTTTTAGTATTCGAAAACGAGGGAACTACCCATCACATTCATACTTAACGAATGTAGTGTTAGAAGAAAGACAAATAGCGCCTTAAAAAAACTCTATGGTTTATCTCTAAAATGTTGTATCCACTATTAGGATTTTGTATGAGGCCATTGTAAAAGGTATAGTTTTTATTCCCATTTTTATCACAAATAAAACTGATATTCCAATGTAAATTACGATCGTAATAAGAAAGTTGATGATAGGGT